CTCCTTCCTGCCATGGGGGGTGGGGGTGGGTGGGGGTGGGATCTATGACCCCACTAGAACCTTGATGTACCTTTGCTGGGAAGAAAATAAATCTAGACCAATTAGAACATGATGAGGGTGATGCTATGTAACCGCCTAAGCTAGATCATAAAAGTGCTATACATTCTCTTGGGACATTCTTAGAACCCAGTCACCATGCTTAGAGGAAGCCAAACACATGGAGAGGTCATATGTAGGTGTTCTGCCTGGCTGCCAGCCCCGCTGAGGTGCAGGTGTACAGCCAACCTCAACTTGTAGACATGTACATCTCCAGATGATCCCAGCCATTAGCCATCAAGTCCCCCTTGGCCATCAAGTCTTCCCAGCTGGGGACCCAGACCTCGTGGAGCAGAGACAAGTCATCCCTGCTGTGCCCTTTCTGAATTCCTGACCCACAGAATCCTCAGCATCAGTCTGCTGTTTTATATGCTAAGATTTCAGGTAATTTGTTGTGCAGCAATAGTAACTGGAACAGCAATCAAATGCTATTTTGATCTCAATATACCTGACTCCTCATTTGACTCAGTTGTTTCAGAACTTGGGCAAGAAAGAGGGTGCTTGGTATTGACACCCAGACCTCACCACTGTCCTTCAAATTTCAGCTCAAATATCATCTCCTCAGAAAGACTTTCCCTGACCCCTAGGGACAGTGCCCTCCCTAATCAGTCTAGATTTGTTTTCTTCCCAGCACTTTCCATTTTCCAAAATTACACACACGGAAATTCACAGCCTTCCTGGCCTGCATGCTCTACACACCAAGGCTATTCACTCAGGTCCCTCCACTTCCAGACTCGGATGAAGGGGGATCTGGCTGTGCAATGGACTGAATGTCTGTGTCCCCTCAAAATTCATACGCTGAACCTCATCCCCAACGTGATGTATTAGGAGGTGGGGCTTCTGGGAGGTGCTTAGGTTGAGTGTGGAGCCCTCATGAATGGGATTGGGACCCTTATAAAAAAGAGACCTCAGAGAGTTCCCTCATCCCTTCTGCCATGTGGGTTACAATGAGAAGATGGGGCTGTCTACGAACCAGAGAGATACGGAATCTTCCAGCACCTTGATCTTGAACC